GTAATGCAAGATGATAATCCTGCAGATATTTGAAGCAAGCTAGTAGATTAATATTGAAACGAAACTACCTAAGATAGCTTGATTTATCAGGTCAGCCAACTGAGGGAATATTTTTATGATTTCATTCTCCGTATATTTTTTTCTTTGATTTAATTTTTACGAAATTCGCTTCAGTATAGTTCACAACCATATATTTGTATCGCCGTTTACCGTTTGTTGGAAAAGAAAACGAGTCTCCTGTCCGTTTCTCATACGTACTATGCGTCGCAGTTTTTGCATCCGATCTTGTATACGCATTCTACGACGTTCTGTTTTGGTGTTTGATCCTTAGGATGGAAATGTCAGTTTCGGAATCTTGTGAGTTTCATGGCTGTTTTAATACCATGATACCACGATAAATACTCTGAATGGTCGCTGACCGGTATTTGATGTAAGGGAGGGCTACCCGTCCACTAATTTTGTTCTTTTCCTTAATGTTTCTTCACTTAAATTTTTCTTTGCCCTCCCCACGTTCCTCGTTATTCTTTTACATTGCCAAACCAGTGTCCATGATGAGTACGGCTTTCCTTTTGTCTGCTGGTAAAATTAGTAGTGCTTTTTTAGCAATGAATCTTAACACAAACCTTTCAAGTGATATATTAGTATAGCCCGCCGAAAAAATAACGAAAATCTCGCTTTCGCGACTTTACATTGCAGTTGAAACAAAACAAATTATATTAATTAAACCAACTAGTGACTATTTTTTCTCTATGATATGATTTCTCCTTTTTATCCATAGCAATTGGTATTTAAAAATCTTCATGATGACCTTTAATCAGTCATTATCTTGGGATTTATTACCTTCGCCCTTTCAAGAAACTGTATTTTGATAAATATTGACGCTTACTTTTTTATTGAGGAGAAGCTATATTCTGTATATATTGCATATATACAAGGCACACAACAGAAACAATTCTTTATTACAAATAGCATTTTATACAAATAGAATATCTACATAAATGTATCACAATATAATTATATATATTTATACATATTTGCAAGAAAATACGACGATTTATATACAACTGTTTAGAAATACAACACCGTCTTACAACTGTAGTAAAGTATAATTAATTAATAGTGATATCATAAAATATTAATCTTTGTGACTTTTAAACAATGTGTTTACTGTTAAGAATATGAAATCACATACTGCTTTTCTGTTTGATTATCAGAAAAAATGCTTGTAAATAAAAACATTTAACTTCTATTTCAATCTATAATCATATCTTCTTTTGTTGTTGTAAATAATATTAACATCTGCGCTAGAGGGGAAGGTCTCAGTAACACAACATATCTGGTAGTGATGCAGAGGTAACAATCTGGATTGATCTTACCTCCATGAAAGTTACTTAATTACAAATAAATTTTTGTATGCAGATTTCAATTCACATTTAGATGTTTTCAATAATTTTGAAAAAATTACTGAAAAAGTTGCTCTTATTTGACCTTTGACCTAGATCTGAAAGAACGTATGACCAATAGATTTTATAAAATCATATATGTGTCCTAGCATTCCAAGTAATTCAAAAATATATTGACAGATATTTCACTAAAATCCCTTATAAAAACATTCTGCAACCTGAAAGACTACCAAAATAGGCCTCAGTAACTTTATCCAATAGGAATTAGAAAGGATCACTTTTTCATCTTTACTCTGATGTGTACGTGGTAAATGTCAGTACTGTTTACATATACAGTAGTAGTAAATACAAGCACCATAAGCGTTAAATCATTTTCATTTTCTAAAAATTATTAATTGATATCGGTGATATGGCATAACTTAAAACTCTTACAGACATTTTTACTGATGAAAAACATACAAAAGATAAATAGCTGATGGACCTTTGTATTTTGTGTTTCTCTATGTAAGTTTCCAACCCATTTTTTTCTAAAAATACACACACGCCTATTTGTGTACATGACAAGGGGAAATCCTGGTTTGGTAAAAGCTGACATCTTTGGTAACTGCAGTAACATTTGTTTCTTTTCCTTTGGTAACTGCAGTAACGTTAGTTTCTTTTCCTAACTCCTTACAAATACTTTTATCATTACTCTTATTTTCATGTGATCTCAGAACACTATTTGTGAAACTTTAAAACAGATTTCATTAATGCTTAATTAAATATTCATGATGCCCAACTTCAAGACAGACATTTCTACCTAATAAATATTCCTACATCTCCTTACTGAAGTCTGTGGTGATTCAACGACCAATCCAATTAATCCCTTTGAAGTGGTGAAAAGTTATTTTGACAGAAAATACCAAAAATATGTTATAATCATAGTTTCATATCTGTGAATTTTCTTTCACATATATGATTTCTTTGAGTTACCAGTGACATTTTTTTTGTACCACAAAGATGCAAGATTTCAGTTATTCAAACATAACTTTCTCAAATAACATGAAGAGTCAGAAAACAATCAAAGCAAGCTATTGATTGGGGACACGAAGACAGTCTGAATTAATGAAAGTTTGGTTCTGATCTTTTTGTAGACATTCTGTTAGAGTTAAAATGTCATTAATCTATATAAAATTAAATTTTAAAAAAATCTACAATACCATACAACCATGGAAACTATAATGAAAGGGACTAAAACAATCAAAATTAATCCTCTTTCTGTTTCTTTTAGTAAGTAGGTAGTTATCAGAAATAAAAAAAACATACAAGATTTGTTCTGTCCTAGACTCTCCTGAAGAACAACGAACAGGACAAAAAGACACATTGTCATGCCTTCTTCCTGTAAACTAGGGAGCTATTTCATCACTTTATGTCTACCTAAGAACTTTAAGAATTTTAAAGCATTTTGATCACCACTAACAGACATTGTATGACTATTAAAAAAAAATCTTTGCAACTTAACACATATGTCACTTTAAGTGATATGTAAATCAGTTAAATAAATCTGACCAAATAGTGTAAAACATCAAAGGATCAATCCTCAAGCAAAATTGTACTCTTGATATAGATTACGATATAAAATGAAAATTTAAGTTTTCAATTAAATTTAAATGGACATTAACACACACAACATACAGTACACAGAAATGTAAATCATATCAGAAGTAGTGTTGACATCTCACCTGCTTCCAACCATATCATGACCTGCTTAAACTGTGAAAGAAGCACTTCATATTTCTTTATCTTTGATTAGTATTTAAAAATTTCAAAATCAGTATTTGGATCTACTATAGTCAAATTAATGTTCAAGCATATCAGAGAACATAATCTCAATACATACAGGTATGATAACTATATAACAGACTTGATGATGACCCTTGTTTACCCTTTTACACATCCAGTTTCCCTAGATTTCGAAAAACAATGACCAGATATTATATGACAAGATGTCGGCAACACTGAAAGGGATACGGGAGTATTAACACTGAGGTGATACTGGGTTTAATATGTGAGGAGTAAAATACCATTCCAGGTGACAATGCATTCCACACTATCAATGTAGACACATTGTATTGAATTATGATCTTACATAGCATTCCTTGTTACCAGCATTCAGTGATCACTCAGGTATACCCTTAGAAAGCAAGAAATGAAGCACCGAATAAAAAGTCCTTGAAATTACAGTTTGAACATTTGCACGGGAACCATTTCTGTATTCATACTTTTCTTGACGCTAACTTAGAACCTTTACTTGTCATACTGTTGTTAATAATGATCCAGAAACTAGAATACCTGTGACTTATTATGTAGAGCATCATTATATTTCTTTTTAACTCTCTCAAACTATAAAATTACAACTTTGCCAGAAGTGACAGCTTTTAAGTTCAAACAGTTCAGTTGAAATGTGAACAAACATCCACTGTTCAAAACTCAACAATTCAGATTCAAATGGATATGAAAAAACAAAACAAAACAAAAAAAGTTCAATGTTAGATTTGCTTATCATTTAAATTAATGCCCTTCCTTATTTCCTGAAACATCATCATAAAACTATGAAAACATCTTCAAATTTCCAGGTACATTTTGTATTCTTAAGTAATTTTCTGGTTTTGCATCCCTATATTTTGTCTATTATTTGTTTTACTTCTTTAGATGAGAAAACTTTAATGCAAATTCTTTATTGATAAAAAGAAAATTATCTAAATCTAAATCTGACTACTTAATCTTTATCTAACTGTTCATACTAACATATGTTTTTACTGCATTATAAATGCATACCAGCATTAAAACAAACCTAATGAATGATAGTTTTTTATATTTAGCTTATTTTCATTGCCCAAGAAAGTGTTACAACAATGCAATTAACAGTATATTAGCCATGTTATCCTGAAAATTAAGCTGTCTAAAATTTATACCATTACCACACTCATAAAAAGACAGTTGTTCTGATAACAATTGTTGGCAGTCGAATTCCAAGCTAACCATGAGTTTTGGAATGTTCCTCTGCCAGTATAATTCTTTAAGAATATAAATATCAGGAAAACTGATGCACTCACTTCAATATAAATGTATACAGCAAATGTAAAACCAAGATAAATAAGTACATGTGTCCAGCAACTGTAAAAACAAGATAAGTAAGTACATGTACAAAAATTATCTAAGTTCACGTCATCATGATACATTTCTTACAATATCATTAAGGCCTATAACAAACCACCTAAGAACTGAAACCATAATTGAAATGAGATCCTCTTATATTAACACAGATTTCAGATACCTGGTGAACTTTTTAAATTAATCTTAAGTATTTTGACCTGAAAATTAACCTTTTATAAAACATGATGACCAAAGTGTCATCAATGATATTTGTAAACACAATTAATATTTTATCTATTTCATCCAGTTTTGCTGATTAACATTTTGTTAATTTAAAAAAAAAAAAATATCAGTAATGCCCAAAAACTATGAAAATGAAGGAAACTTGAAAGACATATAAAAAAATGTAGAACATACATAAAATAATGTATATATAACTACATATTACATGTATGTCACAATATAGTAAATTGAATATGACTTATGTATGAACAATGGAATCAATGTTTTTGGATTTTTTTAACTGACACAGTTTAGATTTGAGCAACTGATAGTGACAATCGTCAAAAAAAATCATAGCAATTTCACTACTGAAATGCTTGGCATGCTAGCAATTAATCTAATCTTGCTTCAAACACTATATTCTATTTATGTTTTTAAATAAATCTATCTCAAATAAGAGCTAGGTTATTTCTTACTATAATATCTCTCTTCTATCAGCGATGATTTCCAAACTATCCACACATTATTTTATCTCTCTGCCTGACTATAACATGTGAGATAACATGTGGTAATTCTAAATTAACTGACCATCATAATTAAGTACTTTAATTTGGTATGGAAAATGTCCAGTTCTATTGTAAATTTTGATACCAAAGGCTTACATACAAACAAAAAATAGTTTTAGCAACTTCTAATAATCAAAATTCTTGCTCACATGAATTTTTCTCACACAAACAAAGGATTCTACAGAACTTCTTATTCCTTTTTCTTTTCACTCTTTGGTAAAGGCTTAAGACGACCAATGACTAAAAATATAACACCCATTATATGGCCGATGAAATAGACAGAGTGCCAATATGCTAACGTGTAGTCCAGTCTAAGCAAGAGGAAACCCATACACATGTAATCAAATGCACGCATCTTTAAGAACCAGTTTATCCAATCAAACATTTTCCCAGCATCTCCTTCCTTTCTGAAAACACGCACCATTCTGTCTTCTGCAGCAACAAAGATGGGCACAAGTCCAAAGCTTAGGTAGTATCCGGGATGGACACCATGCCAAAATGCACTGACAGCCATTGTTATTGCAACTCTGTAAAATTATTAAGTTATACATTACATTATGACGGAAATCTTTGGGTTGCATGCATGATTACAACATACACCTATCTGTTGTGTAAGATAATGCAGTTTCATGGAAAGATTCACTCCTAGTAAAGTATATAAGTACCAGGCTGAAAGTTGTTTTTGTGTTGTTAATGTACTTCATAGTTCTAAGCTTTTTACGACTTTCATAATGGACACACAATACCAGTGAATACTTACTTGAAAGGTGCTAGACTTTTAGGAACCCTGTGGTGCACGCATGAGGCCAGCCAGTACTGCACAGTCATGTTCCAGCTCCGAAGTCCATCCCTTACTCTTGGTGCCAAATCACAACCATAGATATCTAGATTGTGTATTGTTTCAAAATCATACTTAATCTCTTTCACATCTTTGGAATTTCTGGAAAATTGAGAGCTAAAATTAACGTACACGTTTTTTTAACATACGTTGTAGATTGGTTGACATTCAAATAAGAATACATTAATGGTAGAATCTTGTAGAAATAATCATCTAATTCAATTTTATCACAATGAAGTTGAAAAAAGCTTGTCATAAAATTCATAGAAAAGTATTTCAGAAACTTTGCAGTCAACTTATACCACCTGGACTTCTTGAAGGTTTTCAATGACTTATCAAACAGAAATAAGAAAATAATGCACCATAAAAATCTCCCTTAATGTGTGAAACATGAGCATACAAGTATGTTTATTAAGATCTGATATTGTAATTCAACATACGCTTCATCTAAAGCTGCCAAATCTGTAGGTCCTTTTCCACATCTAGCTTTACACTGCACTGGATATGCACCCAGTGTAGAAGCCATGGACATGCATTCAGACACCAACCATGCAATGTACATCCTGGCACGGAATATGGTAAACATTGGCACCATGTAAAACAGTCGGAACAGAAATGAGCGGGTGAAAAATTCACCTGATTCAACATACTGAAAATGAAACAAAATTGTTCATATTAAGTTCAGTTCTGCAACATTTTTAAAGACAAGATAATTGTAAGCTTCCATGGATACTGTCTTCCAGATATTGCTTACTTCAGTTGATTTATCAAATATCAGTAAAATCTCAAGTTACAATATAAGGGAGATAATATACTTCAAATATGGCTATCAGCTTTGTATCAATAGACAAAAAGTAAAATGGGTCTCAACATTATTATTTTATTCAAACTCTGACTGCTTCTTTTAGTATTTAATGGGTTTACTTTATATTTCATTCAATACAACATGACAGTGACCACGTGTTTTAAAATCTCTCTCTTTAAATCATGTGTTCCTGCATTGAGTTGACACAATCAATGAAAGAAGTAACTACCTGATATAAATAACATCACTGTACTAGAGCTAGCATAATTATAATGAGATATCTTATCTAGATATGTCTGAAGGTATATGCATGTACAATGTGGAAATTTTAAGGAAGTTAACTGCAGTTCTCATATTTTCTTCATTCATTCACTAAAAGATCATAATTTAAATGATTCATTTGCTAATCTTAATTGATGTGCTTACGTGTATACTGAAAAAGTAGGAGAATCCAACAAAAATCACAATGAGGAATGGGACAGCTTTCATTCGTGATACAAAAGCATCTAGTGTAGGAATGTCTGCAGATCGGTCATTATTTATCATGTCTATGTAGGTTCGGTACTTGTAATAAGGACCTAAAACATAGGAAAATCAGTAAACTTGTGACAAAAACATCACATACTTTATATGAAATGCAAATCTGGTACACTGTATTTATCATCTGAAGGTTTTCCATAGGTAATATTTAAAATCCTTTATTACATTTCTGCCTGTGAAATATAGGAATTTATCAATGTCATTAAAACTTACATCATCTCTGTAGTTACGATATACAAAATCTTACATCATCAATAGTAATGATAAATAACTTTTCCAGTGTTGCTTTCTAGTCACTGTATTGAAATTCACTAATTTCCCTGTTCAGATCCAAATAAAGCATCGTCTAAATACAGTGCAAGTTGATTTCCATCAAATCATTCCTGTGCACATTTCTGTATTTCTCTATTTTGGTATATAAAAATGGTTTTGTAAGCTATTCTTACCAGGTAACAAAAAAGGGTAGAACAGAACGTAAAGCAGCCTATTCAAAATGGCGTGGTCTTGTTGTCACGTGTAATGTCAAATCTGATGTCTAAAGTATGTCATTATCTCCCTAACTTGTTGTCAAGTGTAATGTCATATCTGATGTCTAAAGCAAGTCATTATCTCCCAAACTTGTTGTCAAGTGTAATGTCAAATCTGATGTCTAAAGCAAACATTTATCTCCAAACTTGTTGTCAAGTGTAATGTCAAATCTGATGTCTAAAGCATGTCATTATCTCCCAAACTTGTTGTCAAGTGTAACGTCAAATCTGATGTCTAAAGCAAGTCATTATCTCCCAAACTTGTTGTCAAGTGTAATGTCATATCTGATGTCTAAAGCAAGTCATTATCTCCCTAACTTGTTGTCAAGTGTAATGTCAAATCTGATGTCTAAATCAAGTCATTATCTCCCAAACTTATTGTCAAGTGTAATGTCATATCTGATGTCTAAATCAAGTCATTATCTCCCAAACTTATTGTCAAGTGTAATGTCATATCTGATGTCTAAAGCAAGTCATTATCTCCCTAACTTATTGTCAAGTGTAATGTCATATCTGATGTCTAAAGCAAGTCATTATCTCCCTAACTTGTTGTCACGTGTAATGTCAAATCTGATGTCTAAAGCAAGTCATTATCTCCCAAACTTGTTGTCAAGTGTAATGTCAAATCTGATGTCTAAATCAAGTCATTATCTCCCAAACTTATTGTCAAGTGTAATGTCAAATCTGATGTCTAAAGTATGTCATTATCTCCCAAACTTGTTGTCAAGTGTAATGTCAAATCTGATGTCTAAAGTATGTCATTATCTCCCAAACTTATTGTCAAGTGTAATGTCAAATCTGATGTCTAAAGCAAACATTTATCTCCAAACTTGTTGTCAAGTGTAATGTCAAATCTGATGTCTAAAGTATGTCATTATCTCCCAAACTTATTGTCAAGTGTAATGTCAAATCTGATGTCTAAAGCAAACATTTATCTCCAAACTTGTTGTCACGTGTAATGTCAAATCTGATGTCTAAAGTATGTCATTATCTCCCAACTTGTTGTCACGTGTAATGTCAAATCTGATGTCTAAAGTATGTCATTATCTCCCAACTTGTTGTCAAGTGTAATGTCAAATCTGATGTCTAAATCAAGTCATTATCTCCCTAACTTGTTGTCAAGTGTAATGTCAAATCTGATGTCTAAAGCAAGTCATTATCTCCCAAACTTATTGTCAAGTGTAATGTCAAATCTGATGTCTAAAGCAAGTCATTATCTCCCTAACTTGTTGTCAAGTGTAATGTCAAATCTGATGTCTAAAGCATGTCATTATCTCCCAAACTTGTTGTCAAGTGTAATGTCAAATCTGATGTCTAAAGCAAGTCATTATCTCCCTAACTTGTTGCCACGTGTAATGTCAAATCTGATGTCTAAAGCAAGTCATTATCTCCCTAACTTGTTGTCAAGTGTAATGTCATATCTGATGTCTAAAGCAAGTCATTATCTCCCAAACTTGTTGCCACGTGTAATGTCAAATCTGATGTCTAAAGCAAGTCATTATCTCCCTAACTTGTTGTCAAGTGTAATGTCAAATCTGATGTCTAAAGCAAGTCATTATCTCCCAACTTGTTGTCAAGCATTATGTCAAATTGGATGTCTAAAGCAAACATTTATCTCCCAAATCTTTTTTTAAATACCACTTTATTTTATGTTTAGATCAATATTGTTCATGTTCCAGTGGAGTCTCTGGAAAATAAGCTGACTACCAATAGAATTACTGAATACATTTCATGCAACGTAAGTAATAATAATCACAAAATCAATACTGGAAAAGATGATCCTATTAGGATTTTGGAATTCAGTAGTGATTTACTAATTACATGCCGAAGTACATTGTATTGATGGTATCATTAGCCATGTCAACATATAACTATTTTATACATTCTTGTGAATCTACAAAAAATGAGTAAATATCAAACATGTTAAAAGTAAGTGATTTACCTGTAAATTGCCCAAGGAAACAGTATGCATACAGAATTATGTCGATAGATGATGGATTCACCTCCTGGTATTTTTTCTTCAAAGCCATTTCCTCAGATGAACAATCCTCTCTCTTTGAGGAGGTGTGAGTGTCATGGATTTCAAAACCAATTCCCACCATCTGTGGTAATTACCAATATACAGATGTACATACATGATAAAGATCATACAGAGACTGACTCATTCTAATGTTACAGATATACTTTATAAAGATGCAAATTTGGCAATTTATAATCAAGAAAAAATAAATAGCAATGTCTATTAATTATAAATTACCTCAGCATAGTTAGATAGCTAGAGTATACAGGTTATATAGTGTACATTGTACTAAGGTCATATGAACAAAGCGCTCTCTCTTTCTCTCTCTCTCTATAATATATATAAATAATAACATTGGAAACACAAGACACTGCAAATTCTAGCTTGTATATATGGAAAGAATCTAGAAAGTAATATTGATAGTATGGTCAGATACTGGGACTGGATCTTAACAAACCAATGTTTGTTGAATGCATATTACTGGAATAGAAAATTATGATAAATGAAGTAATAATGATGGTATGGACAAGTGAATTGTCAAATTTTCTATGAAATCTGCACCTTTATTGAGATACAGATATTACATAAATTACATCACATACATAGAACATAAAACAGATACAAAGACATAAACTAAAATTGAGAACAGTAGTGTAAATTTAGGTGTATCCTGCACGTCAGCCAATGTGATATACCAGTACTTGATCATGTGTGCCAAGTATCATTTGCAGTATGTGGGAGGAGATCAAAACATCACTCAATCCCTGGATCAACAATCGCTGATGTTCCATCAAACAGAAATGCCCATACATTTCAACATGCCAAGTCATATATGGCAGGAGTTGGGGTGACCAGTAATGCCTCAGTCAGAAATGACACTGGATCAATCAACTCCAAACCTGCTACCAACTCGGCATAAAGGAGAGATGATCTTGCTACATCAAATAGGTCTGATCAGACATACCTGGTAGTCGATATACCTCATGCCACCACTGAGGCAACTTGTATAGGATAAGGATTGCCCCATCCACCCAACCTCCCAAGCAAATATTTTTCCCCAAAAATTGTTCATTTTTTTTAACTTCCATTCCAAATTTATTGCACTTCTCATTTGAATCTGAAGTCTCTGCTTTTGTTCCAATTCAAAACTGGCACTGATTATTATCTCTAGTCTGGAGATAGAAAATCAAGTTTTCTGGGGCGAGTTTTTGTGGACGAGTTTATGAATCTTGGGCCTTTTCGACCATATTCAAAATAACATTCTGTGCCTTTAACAAGTGATTTTTCTCAAAAATACTTTTTAGTGTAGCTATAGATACAGTCATTAAATTTTGTTTATTCTTAATAAAATAATTCCTTTTTTAGAAAGGGGCCAAGATGTAACAGTAAACTCCTTTCCACAGAGTATGACATAAAAATGTTTTTCTCTGCGATCAAACATGTGCTCCGTGACTACAGTGCAAAACATATAGAGATTTATATAAGACATTTTTGATATCTGAATCACCATCTTTCATACCAAAACTTAAGATGATTTTTTGTCCCTTATAAAGGGCTTTCAATGTCTATCGGCTGAAGGGATTATCGAGATTCCTAAATTTACCCTACCATTCTAAATTTTAGTTGATAGCTTTGTTTCTGTTTTATGTTGTATGTATGTGATATAATTTATGTAATATGTGCGTCTTAATAAGGGGTAGATTGCCTTGAAAATTTGACAATTCACTTGTCTGTTCTGTCGTTACTACTTCATTCATCATATGTCATATTATATATTTTATGTATATGTAATTAGGGCACACCAGAAGAAAGCAATGGACAGCAAAAAGTGCAGTAAGATGTGACAGAAAAAAAATCAGCTAACTTTAAGATAAATCCACTGTAAAAGGAGCAGCGTACATGTACACATCACAAGTAAAAAACTGTTCAGAAAAAAAGTCTTGGCAGATTTCAAATCTGTATACATAGTCAATTCTGAGAGTACTATTTGGTGAATAGCATCATATACAAGCATTAAATATAAATGAAATCTTTTGATTAAAATAGACAACTTCCTACCCTTAATGTGAGAAGCAGCTGTACAGCATTAGACAGTGCTGGTGCTTGTGGCAATCCTATGTAGTGACAGGTACGGAAAAACAGCAGGTACCCAAATCCCCAAAAGAATAAATAAGTGTGGCATTTCCTACAAAGTGAAACAAAGCAGACTATTGATTTAATATAAAACAAAATAATTTCAACAATGCATCCATGCAAATGTGACAGTTGTAAATAATTTTGCCAGTTAAAAAGACTTATGATGGAGTCCTTTAACCTTTTCTGTAGTAGCAGTGATCATGAGTATGAAGAGCAAATATGTGAGGTGATGACAATTGAATAAAAAATTTAACAGAAGAGGGCAACCAATTCTTTAATGATCAATAACTGATTATTTACCTACTAAATTAAATGTTGTTTGTGTCTACATTCAAACCATGAGTAACCTACAATAAAGAGTTAAAGAGAAAGTACCATTCTTCGATATTGAAGAGTTCTCTATACATTATAAATACAAATATAAATAAATAAATAAACCATACTATACATTGTTTACATGCTCAACAAATAGCAGAAGTTCTCTACACTGCAGAGATTAGGCAAGGGAACAAATGTTGATTCTAGAAGAAACTCCTGCACATCATTGACCAGGAAAGAACCAACATACCAATAATCCTCCCCTGTCATCCATGCATCTTGCAGGCATGTTCTGCGGGAGCGGGGTCTGACACTCCTGCTTGTATGCACTCATCATGCGAGTCATACACAATGTGCAATCCATTAATTGTCATACAAGTTACAATATACAATCTTCAAATCATCTATAATCTTCGACCACGGCTATCAAGCTTGCGTCTACAGTACAATGTATGGTATCCATCGCTGGACATTACCACATTCAGAGCCTTCTCAAAAATAACGGGTATAAAATGGCCAGGAGCATACACATTTATAAGATAGACTCATTTTATACATTCAAATCAACAATCCAAACTTTCGAATCCCGAATGGATAAACATTGGGGGCAAACTGAATGTATTTATAATCATGAACTGGACAATAACACACTGATCCATATCCGGGATGCTAATTCTTTTTAATTCTGATCTGGATATACAGGCATAATAAGCCTGCATCCAGTATATATTATTATTATTATTAATTGTATTAAAATTTGCACAGTACACTTTTTGTAGCGTAGACCCCTGCCAGGTCTGCAGGTCGAGTCAGTGTATAAATCAGCTTACATTGCTCAGTTACTTGTACCTCATCAGCTATACATGTATCTCCTAGCTATAAAAAACTTCTTCCTTGACCATGTTCGAATGCTCTAATATGTACTTATATCCTCTATAACCTGATGAGCATCTGAAAAGTTTAACATCAAAACACTGAGTATAAATTTAAAAGGCCTTGGTTAGACTCATAGGGAATTAAAATGTATATAAAATAATGTTGAATTATGCAGATGTTTGTCTAACGGAATGTCTCGGAATTTATCCGACAAACCACTGTTTGTACAAGTATTTCCGGGAGCTTACCGCGGTCCACTTATTTTTATCAAGATGCAGCTGATTAGGGTGGTCACAATTGAGTGAAAAATGTGCCATCGACACGTGATGCAGGCAATCGACACTCCCATTGCGGTACATATCGCCTTCTTGGTAAACGAATTGTTGCACAGTTTGACAACATGAGCGATTGGTATCGATACAAGAAGGATAATACAATATATCACGTCGTCTGAAAGTTCTACCAGCTCCATGTTTCTCTTCCACTTATCTCTCTTCATTAGAGGAGAGTAGAGGGCAGGGCACATAACTCTTGATCTAAAATAGTTTAATTGCAATATTATCAATATTTACGATTTCATTGCTATGAGTTTACACATTGTAAAGGAATATACTGATGTTTCCACAGAAGTAGAGTATTGATGATAAGGTTAAGAGTAATATTCGCCTCAAACGAATGATTGTTTCATTCATAAATGTCATAAGGTAACGTGTACCTGCTCAGAAGTAATGAGTAAGTTTGGGAAAGAGAAACATCTTACGACATGGGTCGGGTGGCAAGTGTTAGAAATATCCCATAAAATCAAGAGATATTTTGCAAAATATCTTTTCTGACGGAACCCACATGACTTCTACCTTGTATGATTATGTCGAGCAGTCTTCGTGTGAAACTTTGCACTTTCCGTCCACTTTCAATAAACAAATGTTATGATGGCGATTTTAACCGCATATATATAATTATCCCTCTCTCTGTCTGTCGCTCTCTTTTGCGTCCCTTGGCAAGCAAAAAATAAAACGTGGAGGCGAGTTTCTTAAAATCCTTTATAACATTAAAACAAAAGTAGAGTATACAAATAAGATACATTTTATCACTTATGTCAGAAAAGTTAAAATTTGACAGGTTTTAAAGTAAAAATACATAGGACAAAATGGAAAGAAAAAGAGGTTGTAATTTTGGTTTGACTATTTTCAATTCTTGACTTAACGTCAACATAATGGCAACATGAAATGTTTTTACCAGTAGTTATATAATTATATTGAAATAGTAGATAATTTTTGTTACCTTGGATTTCTATTTAATGGTCGATTTACTCTAGCATTAGAAAACATTGCTTCGAAGGCTAGATATTCCAGGTCTTCATTGAACAGAAAATTAAGAAATTTTAAATTCAATTTTGAAACTAAGATCTCATTATTCGACACCTATATTACTTATTTACTTAATCATGTTTGGTAAGTTGGAGGATTCAGTCCTGCAGTGAAAGGTCTGTAAATAATTAGATGGTTTAAGTTGAGTAGGACCGATATCATTTACAGATAAAAAATAACTACTACAAAGCACTGGTTAAAATTACTGACATCTGAAAATTGCGTTCTGAGACCTTGTTATGAAGAGCTAGTCAAATTAAATATCAATAAACCTAGTTGTAAGACTAACTTTGTATACCAAGTCAAGCTTGAATGAAGTAGAGTTGGTTTTAATGAAGTTTGGTTAGATCAGCGTGTGTTTTATTTTTATACACCAAACGTGTGCAAAATATCAATTCAAGAAGTGAGAAGCAACCTAGAAAATTCTTCTAAATCTCGGCTGTATAAGTAAAGTATAGAAACAGGCAGGTATAATAGCATTCCAAGGGCTCAACGGCAATGTCCCCTCGAAATATTAATGGCATCGAGATGAAACCCATTTCATTTCGCTGTACCAAGTCTACTCAGAGATCCGAACAAAACATATCAAACCTTATTATTTCTGTCGTATTCAAATTAAGCCAATTATTCTTATCCAAAAATGTAAAAGAAAGAAAAAAAAACCAAACAAAACAAAAATGAGAAACCTTAGTAAGTATTAAATACAAGCTACGTTTAACAGAAAGTCTATGTAAAATATCTGATCAGTTGTGTTGTATGTGTTCCACAAATAGATGTCAAATATTTTCTTTAACATGTTGATAATATTGTATCGAATGAACTTTTCAAAATATAGTTTTTTTGCTTTATACAATGTACATCATATGACGCATGGATGGAGGTATGCACTTTGAACGTTTGAAATACACGCATCGGCCTATAGGCATTGGTTATTTCAAACAGCGAGTACTCAACTTTGTTATATCATATTCAAAAGGACATAGGCCACATGTAAGCATATACATATATAAGTTAAAGACATGTGACGAAGAAATGAAAGCGCTTATGTTTTACAACTTGGCATGCTTTCCAGGCTAACTTTTTCTATATTTGCTGACCACGGAGAATTGAGAATTCATCACAATTTTACTATATATATATCAAAATAACTTCGAACAACGTATACAAGTGAACTTTACTTTTGTTTATGTATATGGCCTCAATAAGTAACGACATTGGATCAAGCCACTCGACATGAACGAATGAGAAATGATCTATACATGTTACTGCAGACGAGTAATGACAGTCGGTACATCTTGCGCTACCACTATGATATCTTAGGATTAGCCTAGGTTTTGTGCAGTTAATAACTGGTGATTTTTATCGAAAATAGTTTTTATTCACATAATACATACATTCAGTAAATATTTACAGTAAAAATTATTATTTTTAATTAACAGTTCCTAGAGTGGACCGATATGTACCGGTAAACTCATTTCCTCGGAGAGTGGCAGTGAAACAAATTTCAGCACGATCATATACAATGTGCATGTACTCTCAGTGGCTATCGTACACAGCATACCAAGATTTTTGTCAAACATTTTTGATATTTGAATCACCATCTTTCATACTACATCTTAAGATGGTTTCTGCCCATAATAAAGGGTCTTCGGCGTCTATCGGCCGAAGGTAGATATATATATAGATAAATTTTGAACACGATTTAGGACATAAATTATATTTACATTTTCGCTGGATTAGAAAGTGGAGGTTGGCTGTTTTATGTTTCTAAGCACAAATGACAATATGAAAATTTTATTGAAGTATTTTTATTGATAATATTTCGCATTTCTAGCAACCGTTTACATGTATTAATGGCAAACCAACTAATTATATTAGGTAAATAAGACATTTAAATGGCAAATATCAACCTAATGACAAGTCAGGTATTACTATGAAAACCTTTAAATGGCAAGTCAAGCATAACTCTGAAAATCTTTTAATGGCAAGTCTGGTATTACTATGAAAATCGTTTCATGACAAGTCAGGTATTACTATGAACACCTTTTAATGGCAAGTCAGGTATTACTATAAACACCTTTTAATGGCAAGTCAGGTATTACTATGAACACCTTTTCATGGCAAATCAGGTATTACTATGAAAATCGTTTCATGGCAAGTCAGGTATTACTACGAAAACCTTTTAATGGCAAGTCAGGTATTACTATGAAAACCTGTTAATGGCAAGTCAGGTATTACTACGAAAACCTTTTAATGGCAAGTCAGGTATTACTATGAAAACCTGTTAATGGCAAGCCAGGTATTACTTTGAAAATCGTTTCATGACAAGTCAGGTATTACTATGAAAACCTGTTAATGGCAAGTCAGGTATTACTATGATCACCTTTTAATGGCAAGCCCGGTATAACTATGAAAATAGTTTCATGACAAGTCAGGTATTACTATGAACACCTTTTAATGGCAAGTCAGGTATTACTATGAACACCTTTTAATGGCAAGTCAGGTATTACTATGAACACCTTTTAATGGCAAGCCCGGTATAACTATGAAAATCGTTTCATGACAAGTCAGGTATTACTATGAACACCTTTTAATGGCAAGTCAGGTATTACTATAAACACCTTTTAATGGCAAGCCCGGTATAACTATGAAAATCGTTTCATGACAAGTCAGGTATTACTATGAACACCTTTTAATGGCAAGTCAGGTATTACTATAAACACCTTTTAATGGCAAGTCAGGTATTATTATGAACACCTTTTCATGGCAAATCAGGTATTACTATGAAAATCGTTTCATGACAAGTCAGGTATAACTATGAAAACCTTTTCATGGCAAGTCAGGTATTACTATGGAAATCTTTTAATGGCAAGTCAGGTATTACTATGGAAATCTATTAATGGCAAGCCAGGTATGACTATGAAAACCTTTTCATGGCAAGTCAGGTATAACTATGAAAATCTATTAATGGCAAGTCAGGTATTACTATGAAAACCTTTTCATGGCAAGTCAGGTATTACTATGAACACCTTTTAATGGCAAGTCAGGTATTACTATAAACACCTTTTAATGGCAAGTCAGGTATTACTATGAACACCTTTTCATGGCAAGTCAGGTATTACTATAAACACCTTTTAATGGCAAGCCAGGTATTACTATGAACACCTTTTCATGGCAAATCAGGTATTACTATGAAAATCGTTTCATGGCAAGTCAGGTATTACTACGAAAACCTTTTAATGGCAAGTCAGGTATTACTATGAAAACCTGTTAATGGCAAGTCAGGTATTACTACGAAAACCTTTTAATGGCAAGTCAGGTATTACAATGAAAACCTGTTAATGGCAAGCCAGGTATTACTTTGAAAATCGTTTCATGACAAGTCAGGTATTACTATGAAAACCTGTTAATGGCAAGTCAGGTATTACTATGATCACCTTTTAATGGCAAGCCCGGTATAACTATGAAAATAGTTTCATGACAAGTCAGGTATTACTATGAACACCTTTTAATGGCAAGTCAGGTATTACTATGAACACCTTTTAATGGCAAGTCAGGTATTACTATGAACACCTTTTAATGGCAAGCCCGGTATAACTATGAAAATCGTTTCATGACAAGTCAGGTATTACTATGAACACCTTTTAATGGCAAGTCAGGTATTACTATAAACACCTTTTAATGGCAAGCCCGGTATAACTATGAAAATCGTTTCATGACAAGTCAGGTATTACTATGAACACCTTTTAATGGCAATCAGGTATTACTATAAACACCTTTTAATGGCAAGTCAGGTATTATTATGAACACCTTTTCATGGCAAATCAGGTATTACTATGAAAATCGTTTCATGACAAGTCAGGTATAACTATGAAAACCTTTTCATGGCAAGTCAGGTATTACTATGGAAATCTTTTAATGGCAAGTCAGGTATTACTATGGAAATCTATTAATGGCAAGCCAGGTATGACTATGAAAACCTTTTCATGGCAAGTCAGGTATAACTATGAAAATCTATTAATGGCAAGTCAGGTATTACTATGAAAACCTTTTCATGGCAAGTCAGGTATTACTATGAAAACCTTTTAATGGCAAGTTAGATGATTTACAGAGCAAACAAACATGACAATTTAACAAGATAATAAGAGGATTCATCATTCAGAACTCTGTCTAAGAAAGGACCTTATATCTGACTGGAAGTGAAATTGGCACGTGCGTTACATCTTAAAATTTGACCCAGATCTTTGACTCAATGACTTTGGAAATGGCGAAATGACTTTAAAAGACTTAATTGCACATTTAATTATGGCAGTGCTTCACCGGGTAAAATATTAGATGTTTTTGCCTTTGCTTTGTTCATAGAAACTACCAGAAATGAAGTGGTGACAGACACTTCATACAGGACTATATGATACAGTGGACCTTCATTATTTTTATGTTAAGAAAATTTCAGCTACAGTCATGAATGGTCAATAATCCATAAAAGTAAAACCTTTCAATATCACAATAGGACTTCCAGCAATAATGATAAATTCTGTAGTCCGTATTAATTGGAAGCACTGCTGTATAATGCAATGGTTGTTAAGTAGGTCCTATTCAACATGAGACCATACTTATCGTGCCAAATTAAATTGTGCAAGATAATTTATGACTATGTTAGATTTTCTCAGCTGGATTATTGCTAAAATCACAATTAATCAGAAGACAGTAACACATATTGTAGATCTGACAATATTATAGTGTATGATATTAATTCTACAAATATTGTCTTGTCAAAATTTGACTGAAAATCGCTCTTGATATATTTCTCCTGATTAGTGAACCTGATACAAGCTAATGACTTATATAACACGCCTATTGATGTATCAGGAAATTATGTTTTGTCTACAAGCCTGTCACTTGCTTGATCAGTATAATTATTAAATGATTGAAAACAACTTCAGCTTTATAAAAATCTGCATATATTTATCTAGACATACCAATACAAAAACATATTTTGCAGCATATCACATGATGTAATTACATCTTTGATTCTCAAGCATAGCTTAATTAAATATATAATAAATAATAATATAACCCTCATATATCACATCTCGAAATCTTTAACAAGCTTGTCGGTTCTTATGTTGATAAAGTATATAACATAAATATATTGTTCTTGTTTTGACATAAATCAGTAAACAAGAGAAATGATTACTAGTGCTGCAGTAAGAAATAAAAATAATAACATCCGATTCTTTAAATTAAAACATTAGAATAAATTGAAGCCACTGATACCTTTCTGATGTACATTTCAAATTACATTGTATCAAATGTTATTACTTATAATTACCAACGATATTACTAATACAACGGTGTACATGTACCCATTTCTTTGAGTTTACAAGAGCAGCTCCTATCGCTGACGGTCTAAGATAATACTAAATACAGGCTTCGGGGTCTATGCATCACTGTAACCCTTCTCATAACTTTATCTGAAAGATTTTATATTCACGCCAACTACACAACTTCTTTGTAAATGTAATTTTAAAGATAAATATACAAGAACATATATTGTGACATCATTAATTTTTGTGGCGCTCAAATTTAATGGTTTTCCCAAAAAATGTATTTTCGATGGCACTTGACATTGTGGTTAAATGTTGCTCATGAAATCCGCTAGTTCTGTAATCCATGTCAATGTTTATCTCTCTATTATTTAGTGTAATGGAAATTCGTGGATTGCGAGTATCCGTGAATTCAACGAAAATAAATCTCTCACGAAAAGGAATTATTTTACAGCAGAAAGTTACCCATTAAAGATTTAAATCTATGCAAAACAGCTACAATTTTTGTTCAGTCGATATAAAAAGAAAGCTGATAGAATGTAAAAAACAGTATACTTTACAAGAAATTTATTAAGTTTCTCATCTACCTGAAATATGATATTTCCAGGAATATCTTATTTTCTTAGTGAGACATACAACATGTTATTTAGTGATTATCACTACAAGTTTTACTTCTAATGAGCTATTGAATGACCTACTTTTATCAACTGTATTTTGTTTCCTTTTCCACGTGAAATCCTCGGAAAACCAAAAATAAATTTCAACACAATATATATTTGACAATATTTCCCCCATCTAGCAACAGAGGTATTTTAAGATAAAAGAAAAAAAATGGACATAACCAGGAACTGACTCCAAAATATTTCTTACGATTTGCAAGAAATGGAAATATGTAGATCAAGCTATAGACATAGTATGTCTTACTGAGTACAGACACATAATGGAATATATCGACGGAATAGCTTTTACTACTGCATGTAATTAATACAGTTTAACATATCATTAGAAATTAGAAATTCCCAAAAAAATACGGTTGGGGAATGTAAAATCAAGATTACAATGTCCGCTTGAATTTCAATTTCAGTCGTTTAACAAATGGTTTTATGCAGTTTCAGTAATGATAATCACTTTCCATTTGAATGGATTTGAACACTGAAAACATTATAATGTCAGAATGATTTTCCTTGTAGTTATTTTATAGGAAATGAGTGTTTAATGCCCCATTAACTGAAAGCTATCTCGAGCTCCTTGAAAAATATCTTCCTTTAAAAACAATAAATTAAATTAAATTTTTAAAATATTCTTTTCGTTGTTTCGAATATCATTCAAAATTATGTTTGTGCATGTTTCTCAATTCACTCTACATAAGCATATATCTCTGTTACAGTTGAAACAAGTACTGTTAAAATTATCTTTACTGTTAATCAAAACTGAGTTGAAAGGCATCCATTCAATTACACAATGTGTCAGAGTCCATTTAATTCACAATTTGTTTGAATAATCAACCAAGTAAAAGAAACAGATGGATTCAAAGAAAAAAAACAGGTGTACACAAATATATCCTTGCAAATATATCACTGCTGATGACATGTGCAATCCAACATTTAACATGCGAGTTACTTAGTTATTAAGTTTGCCACCCATATGGAACTCCTGGATACATTTTCAATGTAGTAACGGGTATTTTTCAGTTATGTTATTTAACACATTTCCTGCAGCAAAAGTGTCCTTTATGCACAAAAGTTAGAGACCATTAATTTTGTTTCATTAAAGTTTCCAATCTTGCTACATTGTTTACCATATAACGATATGTTTTTCAATGTTAATGAATGTTTTCATTTCTACAAAATACAGAAGAACGGTGATGGACATTACATTTTCGTATCCGTAGCAAGTGGGTTATCGTGGTAACCAGGTTCATATTCAATGTGTTTTTTATCCATAATAGGATCAGAGAGCAGTTCTGGTTTCTGTTCGATTGATGCACGGGTTTTGTATAACTTTGCAATGATAAGGAAAACCAGAAAGTTCACAACCATCAACCCGCCGATGAGAAAGAAGAGATATTCAGCTTTTCCTTCGTTAATTTCATCAGGGAACCAAGGATCTGAAGGAGAAAAAATTGTTTCATACGAAGTGATAAACTCAATTAATGTTTTATTTCAGAGCTATTTTTTTCATGTAAGTCACGTGTCTATTTTACAAACGAATACATTATCCCCATCTTACTAGGTTCAGATGGTAGTATCAGGTATCGATTGCAGTGTTCTTGTTCGATTGAAATGTGACTAAGTACTATACAACAACCATTAAATGTATTGTCCATACGCATGTTAAATAATACTTATTTACTTCTAACCCTACAAACAAACATACCACCAGTAGACGCAGCCTTGACAATCACAAGGATTAGCGTAGATACATAGTTTCCAATTCCGGAAGTCATTAGGAACAGACCCATCACCAAACCTTGCATGAATTCTGGCGCTTCGGAATAGGCAAACTCAAGACCTATTCAAACAGACATGCTGTATCAGTCAATGCAATAAGGAAAATAAAATGATAAAATAAACTCATACAACATTTTAAAATCTAGTTAAAATAGAGTTTGTCATTTTTGCTGCACTGCAGTGTAAATTAGGAGAGAGGACTTTACAAATCTACCTTCAATATTGTATTTTCCATTTTTCAAAACAAGAGTCCCATTAGACCTGTCATTATCAAAACATTACACTCAGTATATTTATTTCCTACAAAGAAATATTCTATTTGCAAAAACGTATCCATTTCTTTATCGGTCTGTCATTCCTTAAGTTGACATTGTCGTCCTGTTAGGTTATAGTGGATTGGTTAATCAAAAGATGTTTGTTATATTTCCCGAAGTCGTTGGGTTGGTAGAAAAAAAATGGGCGCCTATACTTGTAGCTACTGATCATGCATACGAGCAATCCCAGTTAAACTTACCTGATATGCTTGCAAACACTTCGCTGGCACCAACAAGAGCAAATTCAGGTACTTGGAGAAAGACGGACAGTGTTGACGCATTGAACTTGTCATCAGCCAATTCTTGAATGATCCCCCCTGATTCTGACAATTCTTGTTTACGGTATATTTCAAGTACTCCCGCAACCACAACAGAGAGGGCAGCCAAAATCATTCCCAAACCTGGACACAAAAAAAAAATCACTAAATCTTTAACAGTGTTAATGAAATTGTTTGTCTATACGATGTTATATGACAATAAACCTATGTTTGCAAATATGTCTACCCACGTGGATACAGTTTCAGTAGATATACAAACACACACAAAATCACTGTCCGGTAGTCAGCCTTACACAAAAAATTAAATCATAGGTTATATTTTGAGGTTGCCTGGCCGTAGATACAAGCTATAAGCCCGTGTATGTGTTAATGTTAAACTGAGTTACTAATATTAGAATATCAAGCGTGAAAAAATTTTCATTGAAAATAGTAATATCTTCTCAGAAAAGGTTTCATTCATTTGGATTTTTTTTTATAAATATGTTATATTTAAGTATTGAGTCTTGCTTTTGCCAATTTCATGGGGCGATGAATTGATTTGCGCTTGAGACAAATGTATTGGACTGCGAAGCAGTTCATATTGAATTTGTCTCAAGAGAAGCTCAATTCTTCGCGCCATGAAATCGATAAAAGCAAGATTCAATGCTTGTTTTTCAGTTAACAGTCTGCAATAACTAAAACTTGTGCAAGTCTAATGGATTGCATTAAAAATATAATACAACAAAGTAGCAAATGTTCAAACAGTATTACACCGGCAAAATAAGATTATGGGCCACTTTGAAAAAACGATGTGATTGAATTGTAAATATATTTTAGAAGTTATGAAAAAATCTCTGATAGCAATACTCATTATATCTTTTATTTATTTTTATCAATTTATATTCTGCAAATCTGGAGCAACTTTGATAACTTTTATTTAAAGTTTAACATCAAACATGTGTAAGGGCTCTCCCCCTAACTGAATATGTACAGAATGTATTCATATGTCAAAGTCAATCACAATCTAGCCAAATTCATTGACAAATTTGGTAGTTCAGTTGAGTCCAACTTGAGTAGAAGTTGAAATATATTCTAATACAAATGATGATAGTTATATGGCCAACAAGTGTTGTTCGCTGGTTGACCCAGAGCTACAAAAGGTGTTCTGGACAATTATGTCCTGAAAAGCTTAAACTTTGTAATATGTTCAGTTTGGAATTTTAACAAAGTAAATATTAGATGAAAAGCGTAAAGTTATGTTAAGATAATTCATTTCACAAAAGGATTCTAAACACCACCAGGTATGAATATATTTCGACACGGCAGAAAGTGCAGTTCTGAAGATCACTGACAATTTTACCATGGTTAGCTAAACATAACATCATCTGAATTGTTATATGATTCACGCGAGAAAAAAACTACATACCAATTCGTTGTAGATGAGATGGACTGCGCCCATATTTAGCAAGCAAAGGGTAGATGCCACGGTCGATGATAGGGATGAGAACGAGGATAATAACAGTGTTAAAAATATTAAGGACTGCTGCTGGCATCTTCACATCTCCAACCATCACATTCATCCGCTCACTTTGCAGGAAAAAGGTGGACTGCATCTGAAAGCAGAAAGTATATGATGAACCTACTATCCACAAATCCTCAACTGAACCATATATAAACATTGAACGGCTTTCAAAGTAGTTCCATGCTTATAGAAAATACATGTTAATACTCTTTTCATTACTATAATGATATTAGTTCAATATATGTATTCTCCATACATGTCTGGCATTTTGACATTTGATATTTGCATAAATCATCAAAATTCCTTCAGAGGACATTAAAACGATACCTATGATTCAGGATGAATGATGCAACGAACACATTTTACAGCGTAATAAAATGGCGAGGACATAAGAATAACTTAAAGGGATAACAAAAGGATCCTTGCACCAGTTATTAATGATATTCATTAGCTCTTTTCTGACTGATAATTACTATTTTCCCCTGAAATATCTGTTGCAATCAAGCAGTATCGTCCGTTGTTTATATAGGCTGTGATTGAAATTATCTTTTCAATGTGATATTGTTTAGTAATTCTAATAACAATATTACTATAAACCAGTTATGGCAGCAGATATATCAGTGTGTATGTAATTTACCTATAATTGTAGAACTGTATTTGTAACCTGTAGTCAAGAACCATTGACCTTTGATTACAGGTATGTATTTACCACCTGTAGTTATAAAACATACATTGTACAATCTGTTATTACAGGTATGTATTTACCACCCGTAGTTAACAAACATTTACCTGTGACTAAAGGCCTGCATTTACCAACTGTAGTTATGAAACATACATTATATATACCTGTGATTAAAGGCCTGTTTTTTACCACATGTATTATAAAACATACATTATATATACCTGTGATTACAGGTTTGTATTTACCACTTGTGGTTAAAATCATTTACCCGTGATTACAGGCCTGTTGTTACCACATGTATTATAAAGCATATATACCTATGATAACAGGTATGTATTTACCATCTGTGGATAAAAAACAATATGTACTTGTGATAACAGGCCTGTATTTAGAATTTGTAGTTATAAAAAATATTTACCAGTGATTGCAGGCATATGTTTACCACCTGAGTGTATAAAGCATACTTACCTGTGATTGCAGGCCTGTGTTTACCACCTGAAGGCATCAAACATATTTACCTCTGATTGCAGGCCTGTGTTTACCACCTGAAGGTATTAAACATATTTACCTGGAATGCAGGCATGTGTTTATCACCTGAGTGAATAAAACAGATTTACCTGTGAGTAAACTGCCCAATACATAATAATGAGTAGAAATACAGGAAGAACTCGGAGGACAGCTATGACGCCGTCCACCATCTCGTTACTGTAAGGCCCTCCATTATCTTTTCTAGCCGTCTTGAATCCTCTGCATTTTGTGGCAGTACACACCCCAAACGCTTTACTCAAGATGCTTCCTGTAAAGCAAAAACATTTTTGATGAAAGAATATAAGTAATTACGTCATCAATTAAAGGGTACTGAAAGGAACGTCACATTATAGAAAACTCAACAGTATTCTTCAACAAACAAAAGAAGTAATCATTTACATTACATATAATGAGTACACGTACATCATAAAAGTGATAATAAAACTATTGAACATTTCGATAACAGTTGTATCCCTTTACAGGTTCCATATATACACTTGGTAGTTTTAGATGTAAAATATGCTGGAGGAAGAAGAAAATCATTACTAATGTTCCACTGATATGCACCTCTTCAAACCTTGTCAAATAAAGTCTGGATAAAGCGTTGTCAACGCTCCGGGACTCCATAAAATAATAAGGACTTACTTTAGAAATGTTTTACTACTGAAGAAAAAATTAACAAGCATTGGCATATAAATACTTCACAAAAAAGAAACCTAGGGCATGTGATAACGGCAAGGTATAACCAACGAGCAGTAGTTAATTTAAGATAATTTGTTTACTGAAGTGATAACCTTCATCTTATGAAATGACCTTTGTACCTCCCACAGCATTGTTGATATACATGTTCCTGGCAGCAACAAATATGATGAGTGCAACTATCATGCTGGCGAGAGGAATGATAAACCCGATAGTGAAGCTGATGTTTTGTTGGATGTAAGCCACTCCAGAATAAGCCACGAGGGAGCCTGCATTGATGAACCAGTAAAACCTAATAACCAATGTTAAGTGTAAGTCTGAGGTCCTGCATACTGCATTCGATAAGTCATCATAACAGTAATTCGAATTAAAGAGAAGATGATTTTCTTTACAATACTTGCACAACTCCAATAAACCAATGTTAAGTTTAAAATAGCACGAGATGGGGGACTACAATGTGTGCGTTTTAAATTCATCCACGATGATTTTAAAATGGAAAATGCTGCCATCATACTGGGGTTAAATTGATATTTAATATTGTAGTGTAATATAATTAATCATAGGGTGTGAAAGTGCGGTTTTCGTAATGCATTGATCACTAATTGTACTAGCATCTGAAAATGGTCTCCTCATTCTACAAATCGACCCTTACAAGGTATGCGTAAGGAAAGCAAATTGATTATTATCATTTTGATTAATAATTCTTACTGACCAGTTGAAGAAAGATTGCACAGCTTCTGGACCAAGGTCATTTACTTGCTGTGCTCCATATGGACCCACATTGGCCTTGATTCCACCGGTCCCTATGGCCACAAAGACCAGCCCCATGAAGAAGTAAGCCTTTCTTGTTTCCTGTAAAATATCACATTCTAAATATCTGTGAAAATATGTCAGATTTTTCTCTTTCAAAAGGTACGTGTAATGTTATACTTAATGTCATACCAGATAGTCAAGGCAGTGTCAGCTTTTCTGTCGAAGTTCAGGCTTGTATGTTTATATATTTAACGGATTTACGTCCACAAATACGCGTTTTGGCCTTTCAGTGGACAAAACATGTTTGTTACATTACAAGGAATTTATCTAGCAATTATCAAGCGCATGCTGAATAGTAAACGGAATTGTGGCTTTCAACATCGAGATGATTTATAAATAGCCCTTATTTCCAATAATGTTTTCATTGTTGGTTGGTATCATCCTCGATGATATATACTTAACAACAGAATAAAATAATGTGATCAGCAGATGTTGATTACTAAAAATAACTGGATTGAGATATTCTACAACATCGAAGGAAGAGGTTCACGAAAAGATTACTTGATAAAATCAACGAGAATCTTACAATGCTGAGATCATACTCTGCTCCTTCGTCATCTTTACCGAACCAGCCTGTGTAGTCAATAGCAGAGGCAGGCAGTAGAAACAGACCTTGATTTAGAATATAAGGCAAAAAATGAATATATATTAATATAATTACGATAATTTTCTTTTGTATGAAAGTATCGTCTAAAAAGTATTTTTATATTCATGTATATAAAAGAAAGTTGTGATAAAACTACCGTAAACTGGTATATACTGTTATAAAAAGTATAAAGAAATGTCTTTGTGCTTACTAAGTATATCAACTGAACAAAAGATAAAAAGGACATTAGTAGTAATAAGTAGAAGTTATATCAAAGAATAATTAAAGTTGTCCCACTGAAGTAAATAAAACGATATCGTTGTAAAATTTACCTTTGAGCCAAATTCGGATAAGAAAAGGTAATGCAGGCAAATTTTTCCTCTGGGTATTATAATTTAACATTTATTCAAAACGTGCAACACTCTTTAGCTAAATGTTGAAAATGAGAGAGAGAGAGAGAGAGAGAGAGAGAGAGAGAGAGAGAGAGAGAGAGAGAGAGAGAGAGAGAGAGAGAGAGAGAGAGAGAGAGAGTTCATTGATCAACAAGAGGCTTTATCAGAGTATAGTATTTATGTATAACATTACCCAATAAGTATATGAGGCCTGATCCCAGTATTGTGTTGTATTTGCCGGCGTAGGAATCGGAAATGTATCCCCCGACCACGGGGATAAGGTAAACAGTACCTGTAAAAATTGGAACATAATATATAAAATTACATTAAGATGTTGTTCAATATCCTGATGCATACATACAGCTTATCATTATTTTCCATTTAGATGTATAAAAATACCTACCAGAAAAAATGAGGGAAACTTCAGCAGCCTGAGTACTAGGTATTTGTAATCTTGTGGTACAGAAGAGTATCAGATTTGTAATTACACTGTAATATGTTAGCCTTTCACACGTCTCCATCCCAAGAATATAAAACGATATTCTTGTTTGTAAGAATTTTCTGTTGCCTTCTTGATCATCGGACACTTTTTCTGATTCTACAATTATTTCTTCAAGTGGTCGTTGAGTACTTTCACAAGCGACTTCACTAATTTGATTTGATAAAATTGGGAAAGTTTCATTATTTCTGTCGAAATTAAACATATTTTATATGATTCAAACAAATGTTTTACTGACGTCCCTCATACATTTATTCATTCACGTTCCGTAAAATCTCGTTTATTCGCTTTCCATAAAAAACTTTTCTTTCAGGTTCTGCACAAATGTTGGATTGACTTTCTATGCAAATGTTTCATCCACTTGCAAACATGTTTCATTCACTTCCCATGCAAAGGTTATATTCACTTTCCATACAAATGATTCATTCACTTTCCATACAAAGGTTATATTCACTTTCCATACAAATGTTTCATTCACTTTCCATACAAATGTTTCATTCACTTTCCATACAAATGTTTCATTCACTTTCCATACAAATGTTTATTCACTTTCCATACAAATGTTTCATTCACTTTCCATACAAATGTTTCATTCACTTCCCATACAAATGTTTCATTCACTTTCCTTACAAATGTTTCATTCACTTTCCATACAAAGGTTATAATCACTTTCCATACAAATGTTTCATTCACTTTCCATACAAATGTTTCATTCACTTTCCATACAAAGGTTATATTCACTTTCCATACAAATGTTTCATTCACTTTCCATACAAAGGTTATATTCACTTTCCATACAAATGTTTCATTCACTTTCCATACAAATGTTTCATTCACTTTCCATACAAATGTTTCATTCACTTTCCATACAAATGTTTCATTCACTTCCCATACAAATGTTTCATTCACTTTCCATACAAATGTTTCATTCACTTTCCATACAAATGTTTCATTCACTTTCCATACAAATGTTTCATTCACTTTCCATACAAAGGTTATATTCACTTTCCATACAAATGTTTCATTCACTTTCCATACAAAGGTTATATTCACTTTCCATACAAATGTTTATTCACTTTCCATACAAAGGTTATATTCACTTTCCATACAAATGTTTCATTCACTTTCCATACAAATGTTTCATTCACTTTCCATACAAATGTTTCATTCACTTCCAAGAAGAATTATCCATAATCATGTTTAGCAAACGATGTTATGATATTTGTCACTGCTTATTTTCTAAATATTTCCGCCAATCAATGCATAAACGAGAACCAGTAACGTCCAGTGTAAAATGGTATTCCTACTGGCTGATGGTCATGTAGATCAATATGTATAAGTACATATATATGTATACATGTATGTTATACTAACGTTTTTTACAAGAAGAAGTGATAAAAACACAGCTTGTATCTAAAAGATGTTATCCTGCATATACCATAATACATTGCAGTTAAAAAACATCTGTGACCAAAGCTGATACAGCATATTATTACACATATACATGTAACAAATTTAAAGTATGTTGACAATAAATAAAAGAGCAATGAATAAATGGAAAATAGTTTTCGTTGAAAACATTTTCAAATTCACATAGTTAAATGTTAATAGGTTGTTGTTAGTCATAGATATTAAGTCATATTCCATAGAAAAGTCTAGAAGTTTAAGACCTGCAGACACAAAAAAAGGTTACTATTCACAATAGGATAGCATCATTATTTAATGTAGTACCACTACAACTGAATATTTTATTTATGTATTTGACAATTAAAAATAATGATTGAAAACAGTAGTGAACATCATTTTCGTGTACACAGATATCTGTCAATCCCACGGAATGTCATATTTAAGATTTTAGAATCATTCAAATTTTACCCTCAATTCGGAAATCTGTCCATATCACACATTAAATAAAAAGGGTTTTCTCATTCTTGAAATCAATTGATTTTGTAGCTTTACATAAAAAACTGACAATGCATTTTTAGGCACGAGGAAGAATTTCATATATGTTTAGAAAAAATTAGGTCGGGATTGATCCATGAATGTACATTGTACTACATACTAAACTTCATATTAAATGAGAAAATATTGATTTCATGTATGTAAATATTATATATGATTAGATACGTGCATCACAGAAATACAAGTGTTAGAAACACTTTATACTTCCTGGCACACCTGTTATCAGTCGGACAACAAACACATATCTCACTGTACATACAAACAACCTCAGATGTACCCGTATTGGATATCTAAATCGCTAAAACTCAAAAATGAGGCTACTTTACTGTAAATATTTTAAAATATCATTGCTTTAGTTATATATTATGTGACTAGGCTACTGGGGACATGTTTTTGCGTGCGCTATAGTCATCAATTTATTTCCCCTCTCAAGGACTTAGTGATAGTTCTCCTTCATGGAACTTCCCGTGACAAGACACCGATTTGTCACATTTGTACAAGAATCATTATTTAAATATATATTGGCTAAAGAGGGCTTGCAGAATGCAAGAATGGGGTACATGTTTAAGTCTATAAATTTGGCTCAAAGTCTGTACAAATCTACCGTATTTTGAACAGTAACATCACCTTTTTATTTCATTTATTATTGCCTGTTTATAGAAGCAAGAGACTGAGATTTAGCTGCAACTGATTCAATGTTACGTAAGGATAAAACATCCACCGATTTTTTTAAACAGACATGGACAATAACCAATGCTGCTTTTTAAAATACGAGGTCCATAATACCTATGGTATATTTATTGCATATTAATGTAATATATTCATGATAGTAATGAAATACCAGGTCATAATTAACAAAAATAATAATGATAAATCATATCGATACAAATTGTGGTCATTTTGGATCTTATCATTCGCCAAGACGTTTGAAAATTACAACTTCAAACATGTGACTGTTACCATTCAGTTTAGAAAGTCGTATGACACATATCAATGGATATTTTTGTATTAGTTTTAAAAAGCAAGTTAAATCAAGTAAATATAAATTATTAGAAGATTTTATGACAGACAAACAAGCAAAGGAATAGCATCTTTTTTAATTAGAAGCAGATATAATTCGAATTTTTTAAAATACATCTATCTGATTATTTTCGATGAAAGTCAAGCACATGTGTATATTCTGAACCGTGCAACTATTTGAATTAACCTAAACGTACCCTTAATCATTGCTTCAATTTTGCGCCAATCAAATATAACAGGCTTGCTTACAAAAAATTAACTTGAACATAACAATAATAGGCTATTATTTCAAATTGTACTTGTTTACAGAGGTCAAAAATGTGACTCCTATATACAAAATTTATGTCCTAATTTTCTAAAAATTAGGTTAAAGCAATACATTAAATAGCCAATGCACTCAGATACTCAAAACTTCAACAAAATAAGACAAGCCATGACTAGAACTCACCTGTCTTTGACAACCTTGGTATTCAGGCCAATTTCTTATACTGTTTACAAAATATAGATAAAAGTAGGGCGTATTTAGTGATTTCATTGATCTTGTATTATAAAGCATAATTATTATTCATTCACAAAGTTGCCTTTGGTCAGGTTTAATTACTTTCACATGCATTTGTGAATGCATATAATTTACTGTAATATGTGATACAATATTACTATGTGTATCTATAAAGACTTTTAAATTAAAGAAAATATATTAAGAAATTATGTGCACAAATGCATGACTGTACTAGAAAAGGTAATAAAACTATCTAGTTCTGAGGGGACCAATCTGACTATGTAGTCGTAGTAGACATTGCCAAACTATTTTAAACGCTTGTGGCGATATTTAGCTATAGGTAGAAAACCTTACTTTTCAGTTACAAATGTAAAATGTCTAATCATTCAGTTACAATAAGAAAATTTCTTACTATTCAGTTACAAATGGAAAATGCATTATTATTCACCTACAAGTGGACAATGTCTTAGTCTTGCGTTACAAACGGCAATGCCTTACTGTTAATTTGCAAGGGGATAATGTCTTGCTCAATAGTTACGAGTGAAAAATGCCTCACTTTTCAGTTACAAGAGGTCAATATCTTACTGTTCAGTTGCAAGAGAACTAAGACTTACTCTTTCATTACAAGATGGCAATATCTTACTTTTTAGCCTGAAGAGGACAACGTCTTACTTTTTACTTACAAGTGGACAACGTCTTACTATTATAGCATAAGAGAATAATGCCTTACTTTTCAGTTAAAAGAGGTCAATGTCCTAATTTTCAATTAAAAGTTGGCAATATCTGAAACAGTGTTAAGTAAACAATTCTGTAGATTTAAGTTCAGGTAGGCAATGACAAGAGGAAAATGTCTGACTTTTTAGTTATAGATGGACAGTAGTTAACTATTTGGTAACAAGTAACAGTATCTGAGTATTCAGCTACAAATGAGTTGTGTTTCTCTACTTTCGTAAGGAGTTGTAGATACTCCATGTTTCGACAGTATCAAATAAATGTTGCTTTCTAAGTGAGTCGAGATTCTGAATGTTACGACTCTCGGTACAACTAAACAACAACATGTAGCATTATCAACATTTCTTACAGCGGTGTTATCGTTAATCAACAAGATAAAACTGCAGATTTTACGGTCCATGTAAACAATGATATAGCCATGTACATATTATCTATCAATATCTATCTGGGTGGATTCATTTACGTTTTATTTTTTTTTCAAAATGAAAACGAAACAAAATGCTTATTAATCAATGGCAACAGGATCGATATCGATATTTTTACAGAACCATACAAAGGGTTACTTTTCTACACAAGTTTTAAACCCATTTAATGTTTTCTGTGAAATTAAAAGTATGTCCAATTATGACAACTTATAATGAAAACTTACGACAACATTCTTTACCATGATGGATATATTTTCAAACAAAAAAAAAAAAAAGGAAATCATGAATAATTCTTTGGTCTGTAGCAAAGAAGACGTAGTAATTAAATGTTAATTACCTGAGAATACTAGACTAATGTTGGCTGCATCAGAACTAGGAATGTCGAGTTTCGATGTGCAAAATAGGACTAGGTTAGCAACCACACTGTAATAAGTTAAACGTTCACAAAGTTCTGTCATCAAAATACACACCACCACAAGACCAGTCTTGCCACTGAATGCTGAAGACTTTTCTTTTTTCTTCATTCCGGTTTCCTCCATATCGTCTACTATCTCTCTCCTTAGCGCAACAGGCTTTGGACTAGAAGTGTCACCAACGCCACCACTCAGAAGAGGTTTTCGCTCGTCTGGATTAAATTGGGCCATACTGACGGGTTTTATACGGATGCCCTGATAAGAAAATGTAATCTATTAGTTTAATGTAAAGACGGAATAGCTTATCTGCTTAACAGCACAAACAGGTCTGTTTCTCTGTACCCGATAGATGTGTCGCAGTTAATACAGCATTCAGGTTGCAAACCAGACATTGAAAGATTTATAGAATGAAAATACAATGATAAAATGGTATGTAGGAAGCCATACTTGTCTTCAATTTACAAGCTTCTGCTTAGTATTTTGTAGTATCTAGATATCTACAAATATAAATTAGATAGAGTATCATAATAAACAACTACTGTCCACAATAGTTGTACAATTACAGATGATACAACTGCAGAAGAGCATTTTAAATCACAGGAGAGAAAAACAAAAGGAGAGAGGTATCCGGAAATACAAATATTTGAGAAAGTTAAATGCTCCGTCACCTAACGTGGCTCTCAGAGATAAATTTGAGAAATACTAGCTGTTGTAATGAGGAAAACTGGTAAAGAAAGATAGGTTATACATTTTGTTTGAAATATTGTTGACTGTAATGGTAGGCCAAAAAAGTGCTTGTTTTTTTTTCTGTAAAATGTTTGATAAATAGCATTAAGGGACATAATTAAAAACAGTGTTCGGACCAGTTTCACAGTTACATAGATGTGAAACTGTCTATCATTTTAACGGAATATTGTATAATTGTTAACTGTTACCCTTCTTATCTGACTTGTTGTACAATCTTACATCTTGTGCTGACTGTCTTATAATGCCACACGTGATACAGTCTAATGTATTAGGTCGATGGCTACTCTTAAAATCCAGTGCATTATATAATCTGGTATATCGTGTTCACTGTCGCCCTTCCTACCCGACACATTGTACAATCTGACCTCTTTTGTCGCTTTCCACTTTTTCTATTCGATACATTGCACAATGTGACAATTTGTGCAATCTGGCATATTATGATGACTACCACCACCCTTTACAACATCTCTTACTAACATATTAAACTTATCGTCACTCTTTCTATCTGACATATTGTACAATCTGACATATTCTGGTGATCGCCAATCTTTCATATTGTGAAATATGACATCTTGTCTTGTCTGAAACCCTCAGAAAAACCAATCAAAATAAAAACATCATATATGTGTTAGTAATGATATCTGACAACATCACAATTTCTTAACATGATATTCTTACTAATTATTTCAATATCCTTGAAAGATTAAGCCATACAAACCTTTCCTTCAATCGTGACTCAGGCGAATAGTGTGTTATGAATGAAATCCTAACAGTACATGCATGCTTAGTCAGGAGTGTAAGAATCCATGTTGATGTTCACAGCTGATTCTGATCAGAACAAGTCTTGTATTTCCACGTCAATGCCTGAAGTGAAAACATGGAATACTGGCCGTAAAGTTGTATGGTGTGTTCAAATCACTGTTAACTGTCACCACGTTTGCTATCATTTTGTAACAGTTCAGATAATCCAATGCTTAAAATCTGTTTCACAAAAATTCGATAATATACAAAACGAAAGACATTCTGACGAAAATTGCCTTCATACTTAATTATCGGTATTGTCAGCACACTTGGAAAAGAGATAAATACAGCCAATCAAAATATTAACGCCATTATGTATTTTAATTCTAAGCAAGAATTTAAAAATATTTTCAACAAATTTCGAATTTTCGAGTTCGTATACTCCAAAGTTTTTAAAATAAAATATTACAGGTTTTTCTCAGTGACATTTTGTCACTTTGGTGCTTATTTCGTATTTCTACTGTTTTATAAGTTCAATAGAAACTATCAATATCCATGGCCAAATAACATTTTGCACATTGGTATTTTCTTGCTGATATTTTAATGTAGGATGGAGATCTGCACTTTTTATCAATACATATGTTTATTGATCAACCTTATCTATATTGTTATGGGGGTAGGATGGAGATCTGTTTATTGATCAACCTTATATATATGGTTATGGTGGTAGGATGGAGATCTGTTTATTGATCAACCTTATATATCTACTGTTATGGTGGTAGGATGGAGATCTGTTTATTGATCAACCTTATATATCTACTGTTATGGTGGTAGGATGGAGATCTGTTTATTGATCAACCTTATATATCTACTGTTATGGTGGTAGGATGGAGATCTGTTTATTGATCAACCTTATATATATTGTTATGGGGGTAGGATGGAGATCTGTTTATTGATCAACCTTATATATCTTCTGTTATGGTGGTAGGATGGAAATCTGTTATTGATCATTGACAACTTATATATCTACTGTTATGGTGGTAGGATGGAGATCTGTTTATTGATCAACCTTATATATATTGTTATGGGGGTAGGATGGAGATCTGTTTATTGATCAACCTTATATATATGGTTATGGTGGTAGGATGGAGATCTGTTTATTGATCAACCTTATATATATATATTGTTATGGTGGTAGGATGGAGATCTGTTTATTGATCAACCTTATATATATTGTTATGGTGGTAGGATGGAGATCTGTTTATTGATCAACCTTATATATCTACTGTTATGGTGGTAGGATGGAGATCTGTTTATTGATCAACCTTATATATATATATTGTTATGGTGGTAGGATGGAGATCTGTTTATTGATCAACCTTATATGTCTAATGTTATGGTGGTAGGATTGAGATCTGTTATTGATCAACCTTATATATATTGTTATGGTGGTAGAATGGAGATCTGTTTATTGATCAACTTTATATGTCTACTGTTATGGTGGTAGGATGGGGATCTGTTTATTGATCAACCTTATATATCTACTGTTATGGTGGTAGGATGGAGATCTGTTATTGATCAACCTTATATGTATTGTCATGGTGGTAGAATGGAGATCTGTTTATTGATCAACCTTATATATCTACTGTTATGGTGGTAGGATGGAGATCTGTTTATTGATCAATCTTATATGTCTAATGTTATGGTGGTAGGATTGAGATCTGTTATTGATCAACCTTATATGTATTGTTATGGTGGTAGATTGGAGATCTGTTATTGATCAACCTTATATATATTGTTATGGTGGTAGAATGGAGATCTGTTTATTGATCAACCTTATATATATATTGTTATGGTGGTAGGATGGAGATCTGTTTATTGATCAACTTTATATGTCTACTGTTATGGTGGTGGGATGGAGATCTGTTTATTGATCAATCTTATATGTCTAATGTTATGGTGGTAGGATTGAGATCTGTTATTGATCAACCTTATATATCTACTGTTATGGTGGTAGGATGGAAATCTGTTATTGATCAACCTTATATGTATTGTCATGGTGGTAGAATGGAGATCTGTTTATTGATCAACCTTATATATATATTGTTATGGTGGTAGGATGGAGATCTGTTTATTGATCAACCTTATATGTCTAATGTTATGGTGGTAGGATTGAGATATATTATTGATCAACCTTATATGTGTACTGTTATCGGGGTAGGATTGAGATCTGTTATTGATCAACGTTATATGTATTGTTATGGTGGTAGAATGGAGAGCTGTTATTGATCAACCTTATATGTCTACTGTTATGGGGGTAGAATGGAGATCTGTTATTGATCAACCTTATATGTCTACTGTTATGGGGGTAGAATGGAGATCTGTTATTGATCAACCTTATATATATTGTTATGGTGGTAGAATGGAGATCTGTTATTGATCAACCTTATATATATTGTTATGGTAGTAGATTGGAGATCTGTTATTGAACAATCGTATATATATTGTTATGGTGGTAGGATGGAGATCTGTTTATTGATCAACCTGATATATATTGTTATGGTGGTAGGATGGAGATCTGTTATTGATCAACCTTATATATATTGTTATGGTGGTAGAATGGAGACCTGTTATTGATCAACCTTATATATATTGTTATGTTGATAGAATGGAGATCTGTTATTGATCAACCTTATATGTATTGTCATGGTGGTAGAATGGAGATCTGTTTATTGATCAACCTTATATATCTTCTGTTATGGTGGTAGGATGGAAATCTGTTATTGATCAACCTTATATGTCTACTGTTATGGTGGTAGAATGGAGATCTGTTATTGATCAACCTTATATATCTACTGTTATGGGGGTAGAATGGAGATCTGTTATTGATCAACCTTATATATATTATTATGGTGGTAGGATGGAGATCTGTTATTGATCAACCTTACATGTATTGTTATGGTGGTAGGATTGAGATCTGTTATCGATCAACCTTATATATCTACTGTTATGGGGGTAGAATGGAGATCTGTTATTGATCAACCTTATATATATATTGTTATGGTGGTAGGATGGAGATCTGTTATTGATCAACCTTATATGTCTACTGTTATGGGGGTAGAATGGAGATCTGTTATTGATCAACCTTATATATATTGTTATGGTGGTAGGATGGAGATCTGTTATTGATCAACCTTATATGTATTGTTATGGTGGTAGGATTGAGATCTGTTATTGATCAACCTTATATATCTACTGTTATTGGGGTAGAATGGAGATCTGTTATTGATCAACCTTATATGTATGGTTATGGTGGTAGGATGGAGATCTGTTATTGATCAACCTTATATGTATTGTTATGGTGGTAGGATTGAGATCTGTTATTGATCAACCTTATATATCTACTGTTATGGGGGTAGAATGGAGATCTGTTATTGATCAACCTTATATGTCTACTGTTATGGGGGTAGGACGGAGATCTGTTATTGATCAACCTTCTCTACGGAAGGTATGAAGTTTTCCCTTACTTTTATTTTCAATGTTTATGCGATTTTATTTCATCCTTGACTATAGAAAGTTTAAAGAAGGATATATCCCATTCCTTAGAAGATGCCTTTCTCTATTCATACACCCGTACACACTACAACTTTTCACCGACTTCTACGTTGTCAATGTACGCATGCGTGACTTACTGTTCCGCAGTTAAGTCTCAAGTCGGATATTTGCACGATACAATAATGCAA